TTTAGGGAATTTCAATGGTGTGCTACACTGAAATGGTAACCCTTCTCTTTTGCTTTTATTATAAATAACCCTAATTAAGAATTTAATCCCACAAATGACCTTATTTTCATAGATATGAAATTACAATTAACTATTTAAAAAAACAAAAACTTTTGTATACACCCGGTTTACACTAATTTTACTGTACATCGAGTAGTATAAGGGTAACTTTTACCTAATTTTAGGGTAACTTTTTGCCTTTTTTTGGGTAACTTTTAACATAATACAATTTTTATATAAATAGACAATAAGAAAAGTTTTATAATGGTAATTTAATTACATTTAATCACAAATAATTGATTTTTAGTCATTTAAAATGTGATTCTTTACTAATAATTTTTATTTGTATTGGATTACGTTTATGCATATTAGGGTAACTTTTATTTATTTTAGGGGTAACTTTTGATCAATCTAGTCTATTTTTATAATAGATGTACAATAATTATTGTACACCCGATTTTTTTTAAAGTTTGTGTTAAAAAAATCAACTAAGCCACGAACCCCGCCCCCTAAGCTATAAGCTCTAAACATCCAATCCACCATCCGATCCCCATCCGTCACTCTCCACCTAAACCTAAACCTAAATCTCAACCCCAATTCCATCTCACACAAAATTTAACTCCACCCTTTACTCTCTTGTTAACCAGCCACCCAAATTTCGATAATCATGATGCTTTTAGTGGGCATTGAGTTTCCATCACGTGAAGGTGTGAGAAGAGTTTATGCCAATGAGAAGGTTGTTTGATTCGCTAGATGAGCATTGTAGTTTGATTGTTTGAATGGTGGGCAGTTGAAAGCGATGTGGGGAACAATAAGGTGGCTACTGATGACGTGATGGTGGTTGTTGATGGTAATAAGTTGTTGGGTGGTGCAGGGGCTAGGTGATCTGGTTAAAAAAATAATAATAAAAAAAAAAGACCAATGTTAATTTTAATAAACCATTTATGAAAATAAGGTAATTTGTGGGATCAAACTCTTAACTAGAGCTTTTAATAAAAGCAAAAAAAATGAGGGTTACCATTTTAGTGTATCACTTTTATAAGGCTACCATTGATAATTTTCCTTTAATTTTTATGGGCTCTTTGAAATCCACATATATACTCCGTTAGAATTGGCAATCTTGACCCGACCCGATTGACCCGATCCAGATGACCCGACCCTTGACACGAAATCATTCACCCGAAAATCACCCGAACCCGTATTACCTCGACTGAACCTGAACCCGCCCCGAAACGGAGTTGACCTGAACATGGCCCGATGACCCAAAACTTGAACTTGACCCGACCCGAAGTGACTCGACCCGAATTGATTGACTCGAATCGACCCAACCCGAAGTAATCCAACGCAAAGTGACCCGAGCCAAAGTGACCCAATTCCTTAAATGCATAGAGTGAAATGGTGAATTACATAGTTTCCAGTTTGACCCGAAATTTAATGATTTTTCCAACTATTTTCTTAAGTAAATTTATTTTGGTGACCCGACACAAACTTGACCAGACCCATACTGACTTGACCCATACAAACTTGACCCAACCCGAAGTAACCCAACCCAAAGTGACCTAACCCAAAATTGACCCGAAAATTGGTCCTAAAAATGGACCCCACCCAAACTGACACGACTCGAGCTTCACCCGACCCGAACTTGACTCGAAGTGCTGACCCAAGCCCTAATTTGACCCGACTCCATCCGATCATTTGCTGACTCGAAATTGACCCGAGCTGAAATGACCCGTCCGGAATGACTTGTTTGCTACGTCTATACTCCATTACAATTGCAGATTTTACTTTTTTTCTCAAAAGAAAATATAAGAACTAGCTTATTTATGTGGACTTTTTGATTTGTACCACTGAATTGTTTCTAAAAGTTCAATTTCTATAACTATGTTACAATATTTATATTTTCATAAGCTCATTTGGGATCGCATAATAAGTAAAACAATACATTAGAAAAACTAATTATTGTGAATACAAGTATGATTATGAATATAAATTTATTATAGAAGCTATATTAGTCATGTGAGTTTTATTTCCAAAAATGTGCCTTGAAATACTCTATTTTATAAGCAATTGATATCTTTATAAATTGTAATAGTACATCTTACAAATACTGTAATTAAAATTCATTTCTTTGTTTTTATATGTCAAAGTGATGAACTAAAAAGACATTCACAAGATCATGTTGAAATTATTATTGACCTTCTCCTCACACACAAGGTACTCTATAATTTAAAGGCTTTACTTTTTTTTGTTATTTGGCATTTAGATTAATTAATGATTGCTTGTTTTTTATTCCTCAGGTTGGGTTAGAAAATCTTGTGACGCGATTTCGAATACTTTTGCGCCAATTAAAACCAAACGAAATGTATGTTTACAAGTTCTTTCATCCATCTTTTTATGATTTATGATTCTTGTTTAAAATCTTAATTTTTCTGTCACATAATAACTTTATCTTACATGATCAATAGGCCGACATACTCATCTCATTTAGAGGATGAAAACTTCCCTATAACCCTTACAAGGACAAATTTAGAGGAAGATTATCTAGATTTAGAAAATAAGGTAATAATTGAAGTTAATATCACTTCTTTTAGAATATTTGTTGCACTTCGATATATGGAACTATGGAAGTACTTTAATAAATTTAATATCAAAACATAATAGCAAGATATTTAAGAAAAACTTCTTGTGATTCTAATCTTTAATTTTTACTGTTTATTATACTATAATATATTATTTCTTAATCTTACATTTTCATGAAATCTTTTCAGCTCAATATTGCTTTTGATTTACTAGAAAACATTTGGAAATCATATACGCAAAGTGAAGAATTTTTCAGGTACTACAAAACATAATTATATCAATTCTGGCAATGTTCTTTAAATATACTCTCTTAAATATACTCTCGTTTTAATATTCACAACTTTTAATAACTGCATACCATTATTGCCCATGGTCATATCTAGTTATATATTAACCAAAATTATGACTATTTAATATTCTCAGAATTCAAGGTAAAATAATAATTTTTATTTCATGTAAACACATACAAAACACTACATTGCACCAATTGAGCATTTTCATATAATTTAAGATAATAAACTACAGTTATATCATATAGTACATCACTATATTTACTAATATTTACGAGAGTTTCAAACTCATGTAATAGTGTAGTACATCACTAGATGATTATTTGTAATCACTTTATTCAATAGAGAAAGTATGTACAACTATATGTGGTAAGTCGTATTCATATTTCAAAGTTATTCAGGTTGACATCTCCAATGTAGATATCTTGTCCTATTCAAAGAATTCTTATCAATGAACCTTAAATAGCTTAATCAACTAGTTAGCATTATCATTTAGTTAATATTATTTACCTTCATGTAGATATAAATTTCTTACTTAATTTCCCATAATGTAAACAATCAATTAATTACTTACTCCATAAACTAATCCTATCATCATATTCTAATCCTATCATCATAGGCTAATCTCTCACTGAATAAATTAATTACAAATATGATATTTTCTAATCTATAATTTTTAAGTATGAATTACCTAATGTCCAACTAATCTAATAAGGCACATTTAAATTATGAGCTAACATCATAATATAACAAAGTTATTGTGACAATTAGTAATACAATCAAATCATGTATGAAGTAACATAAATTAAATATAATGAAATTATGAGCTAATAACTTCTAGATTATTATTCATATTATACCTAATGTAAAGTATTACTCATTAATTCATAAATTAGGAGATAAAGGATAGGATCCGCCCCAACTATTGCGGTAATGTTAGAGTATTAATGATATTTAAATATTAATAAACTCCTTGAACATTTATAGTGTAAGATTATGCTAGAGTGTTGATGATATTTAAATAGAGCATTAAGTAAAGAATTTATCTTCCATATCCTCTCCTTCAAGCAAGTGAAAATAACTTTTTTTTATTTTCCGATCATAGTAGGCAACCCTATATATTTTCATGTCTCTCCACTTCACGAACCCCAAGAGTATTAATGATAGCATTTCTCCGATCACTAGTAACACATTTACTAAAGGCAACCTCTGTCTTCCCCAGATTAACTTTCTGACTAAATGCTCTTTCATACATACTAATGATTTCAGCAATTTTCGGCACTCATGTAGAGTAGCTTTAGCAAATAAAATACTATCATCCGCAAAGAAGAGATGCGAGATCCTCGAACCCGATTGACTGATTTTCACCCCACTAAGTTTTCTTTCAGATACAACTTTAGAGATCAGAGAAGAGAAAGCGTCTGCACATAAGAGAAACAAATGGGGAGAAATAGGATCACCTTGTCGGAGACCTCTAGACGGGGAGACCGACCCATAAATATCACCATTCACCTTAAAAGAGAAAGAAACACTCGAAATACAATCCATCACTCGCCGAATCCAATTAGCACAAAAATCCATTTTATACATCACTTTTTCCAGAAAGCACCATTCAACCCTATCATAGGCCTTACTCATATCTAGTTTGAGAGCAACTGTCCCGTGTCTACCCTCGCCTTTCCTTTTCATATAATGAAAAATTTCAAACGCAATCAAGGCATTATCATTAATTAGACGACCCGGAACAAAAGCACTCTGATTTATAGAAATAATCTCATCAAGAAACAACTTCAACTTATTCGCCATAGTTTTTGAAATAGAAATAATCTCATCAAGAAACAACTTCAACTTATTCGCCATAATTTTTGAGATTATTTTATAAATCACATTGCAGCAACTAATGGGCCTGTATTCTGTCATATTCTTAGGATCATTGCACTTAGGAATAAGTACAATACAGGTTTTATTAATTTCAGAAATATTATTAAACCCCTCCACCAATTTTGCACAAGTCTAATAATATCAGAGCCAAGAATATGCCAGAATTTTTGAAAGAATAAAGCGTGCATACCATCCGTACCCGGGGCTTTGTTAGGGTGCATTTGGAACAAGGCATTTTTTTTTTATCTCCATAGCAGTCGGCTCTTCCTCAACCACGACATTCATAGAATCTGTAACAATCGAGCTTAAACCCTCCGTAGCAGCCTCGAACTCAGTTGGATTATCAGAAGAAAAAAGATTTGAAAAATAATCGGCCACAATGTTGCAAATCTTCTCGTCCTCATCCCTCCATACCCCATCTTTGTCAAACAAACCATCGATGCGGTTCTTCTTCTTACGTTGGCTAGCTTTTCGATGAAAATATGTTGTATTTTTATCCCCATCCCTCATTTCATTTGCACGAGCCCTCGCATACCAATACGATTCCTCCAACCTTCTCAGCTCCCCTAGTTCATTCGATAGTTTTTCACAGCAATCCAACATAGCAGCATCAATATGACCACCTTGCGCCTCTAACAATTCCTTCTCTAATCTTCTGATTTTCTTCTGAGTTTTTTTGAAAGTGGTAGCAGACCACTTTTTAAGGCCCAAAGCACATTGTTCAATCCGCTGATGTTCCTCCAAGCCTTCACTTTCGCCCCAAGCTTTCGAGATCACCGCTTCACAAGAGTCGCTCGAGAGCCACATAGCCTCGAACCTAAAAAGTTTACCGCCCTTGCCTCTGTCATAGTAATTCAGTGTATCTAACATAATCGGAGCATGATCGGATTCTTCACGCACAAGGTGCTTAACTGAGAAATTTGGGTGCATCTCACACCAATCATCATCCCCCCAAAATCTATCTAGTCTTTCTCTGATCAAATTCTCCTCTGATTTCCCCCACCGCCACGTAAATTTGCACCCCTTGTATCCTAGATCTTTCAATCCACACACATCAATGGCATACCGGAAAGCATCCATCATACACTCTCTTCTAACCACTCCACCCTCCTTCTCCGACATACTCACAATTGAATGGGTGGAAAGAGAGGCTTCTTTCGAAACCGGGGAAGGAAGTTCTAATCAAAGCTGTGGCCCAAGCTATTCCTACATATATGATGAGCATATTTAGAATTCCGGATGGGTTAATTGATGAAATTCACAATCTTCTTTGCCGGTTTTGGTGGGGTTCGAGAGAAGATGCAAAGAAACTTCATTGGCAGAGTTGGGAGAATTTGTGTCTCCCTAAGGCCAAAGGGGGTTTAGGCTTTCGTGATTTAAAGTGCTTTAATCAGGCCCTTTTAGCTAAACAACTATGGCGACTTCATTCGAATGAATCGACCTTGCTTCATAAATTTCTGAAAGCGAAGTACTTTAAATACTCCAACGTGTTGGCAGCATGTCGGGGTTATGATCCAAGCTTCTCGTGGAGGAGTATGTGGGGGGAAAAAGGCTTACTTCGTGATGGGCTATTATGGAGAATTGGGGATGGCAGACAAGTTAGAGTGTGGAAAGACCCATGGTTGGTGCTTGAGGGGCGTGTGTTTTATCCAAATAAGCCGACTGATTGTGATGATGAAATGAAGGTTAGTGATCTGTTTAGGGATGGCTATGCTGAGTGGGATGTGGAAGAAATTGAAAGAATGTTTGCTCCAGAGGTGGGTGCGCGCATTCTGGCAACTCCCCTGTCATCAAAACAGCGTGCTGATACTATGTATTGGCAATGTGATAGGAGGAATGTTTATACGGTTAGGTTGGCTAAATTGGGCAATGATGAACAATCGCAGCAGACTAATGATGATGCTATATGGCAATCCATTTGGCGTATTAGTAGTCCTCCGAAATTGCAACATTTTATTTGGAGTGTTGTGAAGGGTAATTTGGCAGTGAAGGATAGATTAGTATTCAGGCATATTACTCAAGATTCGTCATGCCAAGTCTGTGGGGCGGAAAAGGAAACAATAATACACTCCTTGCTCGAATGTAAGGCTGCAAAGGACATCTGGGCGCATAGTGAACATGTGGGGAGCTTGGTTGATGCTCCTACTTCCTCTTTTGCTGAACTTTGGGCATGGTTGAATTGTAAATTCAGTGGAGAGGTGGTGAGGCAGTTAATTACTCTTATGTGGGCAGCTTGGAGGTGTAGGAATCTTGCTGTGTTTGAAGAAGAATGCTCACATCCTGTCATGGTAGCTGCGGGTTTCCTCCGTATGGTTTCAGAGTATATCTCTTATGGTCAACGTGTCTTCAAGCAACCTGTGATTACTGGTGCTGGAACAAGTGCGACAAGATGGTCTTCCCCTCCAATTGGTTATATTAAGGTAAATACCGATGCTCATGTGCCTTCAGTTGGAATGGTAAGCTTGGGTGTAGTGTGTAGGTATGCTTAGGGGTCAATTATTGCTACGACAACAAGAAAAATCCACTTAACGTCTCCAGAGTGTGCTGAAGCGCTGGCAGTCCGATTTGCTTTACAGGTTGCGTGTAGGCTCGGCTTCTCTAAAATCCAAGTTGAATCTGATGCTTGGAATGTGGTTCAAGCTGTGAAGATGGATGATGGTGGTTTGTCTCCAATTCACTCTATCTATGATGATATTAGACAAGATAGGTTTCTCTTTGATGATTTTTCTTTTGCTCATGTTAATCGTAAGTTGAATACGGTGTGTAGACCTGTCAATTAGGCCAGGTCACGAGTCATTTCAGACAAGGTCAAAAAAAAAATTCACCAATATTATTATTATTTTTCATTACATGTCTACAAATTTAAATCGTCACAAAAACACGTCAATTCCTAACTAATTTTGTATCAATGATATGTTTTAAAATTTGACATATAGATTAAAATATATCTTTAAATTAATAAACAACCCGGGCATCGCACGGGCACAAAACTAGTATATATATATATATATATATATATATATATATATATATATATATATATAGGGGAAGACTCTCGTGAGAATTTTTCTTATATGAGAATTTTTCTTATGTGAGAACACTCTTTATATTCTAAATTCTTACTCGTATGTTCTAAATTTTAAATTTGATGTTCTAATTTTTTTTAGGTGTTCTAAATTAAATCAAATGTTCTAATTTATTACTCACATATTCTAAACCATAAATTAGTTAAGCTTGATGTCACAAATTTTAAATAACTTGTTCAAAACTTTTAACTTTTATGTTCTAAATTTTAAAACGTGTGTTCTAAGATTTTTAATTATATGTTCCAGATTTTCTAAGATTTTTTAATTATATGTTCCAGATTTTAAAGTGTATGTTCTATTTTTTTTTACTCGTATGTTCTAAATTCTTTACTCACACTTTCTATATTCAATATCAGTTTGTTCTAAATTTTTATTCACATGTTCATAATCTTAAATCAAGTGTTCTAAATGCTACTCATATGTTTAAAATTTCATAAAGCAAATTTTATAAATTTTTAATCACTTGTTCTATTTCTTAAATCAGATGTTCTAACATATTACGCACACAAATGTTCTAAATTATTACTCATATGTTCAAAATTTTAATTTGAGTCACATGTTCTAAATTTTAACTCGTATACTCTAAATTTTTACCCACATGTTCTAAATTTGAAATCAGTTCTCATATAAGAATGAATTCTCACATATGAACCTATTCTCACCGGATCCCTCCCCTATATATATATATATATATATATATATATATATATATATATATATATATATATATATATATATATATATACAAAAAATATCTAGCCAACCTTCTTGCGCAAGAGCTTTTACTAGAATCAAGTGTCTTGATACTAAATAGAAAGGATAACTTCAACAATTTCTTTGTCCTCAACGCCTCCTAATTTCCAGGAAATAGTCACTTCAACAGTCTTCGATGGTTATACGGGTATCCAAAGTACGAACGAGATGGATGTTTGTTGGCCCAACCATTCTTGTTAGTCCTAACCCAGATAAGAAAGGGAGTAGGTAAGTAATTTTTAACAAAGCTTTTGTGTTGTCGATTGCTAGGTGTAGTGCTTCTTTCCCTATGCCGCCTATTGGTACTATATTACTAGGAAGTAGGATTGACTTGTAATACAAAACAAAAAGGTGTAACCTTTCGTTCAATACAAAAATCTATAAATGAAGCTATAGTATTTGAGGTTGCATCAATCGGGGATACACGACGGAAGGAATCATTCGATTTGTAAACTTCACCTTCAACAAGCGTAGGTTTGTTTCTATAATATTGAATAAGAATATTTGTTCTTTACTATCTCGAAGTGTGTGCTTTTCTCATAAGACTAAGAGCAGTAAAAAGAAACTAAATAATAAAGAAAATCAAATCACACCATCTCTGTAATAAGTAAATGCCTCCTTTTCTCCTGAAGTTGTCGGAATTAGTCGTAATAAGATATTTGCCACAATTGAAAAGGTCTTATCAATAAAATTTCCATTTATCCGCGATCTAGGCATAGGTATCAATCCATTCTAAAATTCTTCTCATTACCCCTTAGTGGGAAAACGATTACACAAATAAAGAATTTGTACAGTACAAAATAACATAAAAACGGATTCCTTTCCAAACAAAAAAATTTCAATAAAGATACAAATTTTTGACTACTACGTATACTTCAATTTTATTTATTCGAATTGTTCCAAGTGCCCCAAACTCCTTTTTCAACAATCAATAAAAAAGAGTTGAATCCCATTTGAATTCATACAAATCAAATCGAGTAGTATAGTAGCTATTTCGATTTCATCGAAGCGGAAGAATCAAAGAATTTTTCGATCAGATCAAAAAAAGTTTTGATCGAAAGACGAAAAGAAAGAGAATCGAATAATCATTCTATGATGGAAATTCAAGAAATTTGTTGGTGAGCACTTTAAAACTAGACGGAAATTTTCTAATTTTTTTGAGAATTTTATAGAATTCTAGTCGAAATAAAAATCGAACCATGATCAAAGAGGGTCCATTAATCGTCTATAATCTAAAAACCATAAACCCATCAATCCGTTGATTCGATTCATTTCAATTAATTAATCAAAGCTGGTATATTATATATGGAAATATCGGATATAGAATAAAAGATAGGAACATCATCTTCGCAAATATGAATCAATAAATATATAACAAGGAAAACCTTGTTTTTTTATTTTAATTAACTCCTACGAATAAAGATTTTTTCGAAAAAATCTTCTATTACATTACTACTCGTTACGTTCTATTATTAGTTTGTTTATAGTCAAATAGTATAGTATTGGTGCGTTAATCCTAGTCGTACCTATTTTATACAAACAATATCGTTAGTAATAGAAATATCAACATAGTAATGGCTCGCTATTTCTTCGGTTTATGACTAAATCGTTGTGTAGGAGAGATGGCCGAGCGGTTCAAGGCGTAGCATTGGAACTGCTATGTAGGCTTTTCTTTACCGAAGGTTCGAATCCCTCTCTTTCCGTCTTTTACTTTCACCTGATTGAATTCGCCAACATTTCTAACTTTAACAAATCAAATAACAAGAAATACTTTATTTAGAACATAAGAGTTAGATCCTTCTTGTATTTGGATATATATTTCTTCTATTTCGAATTGCTGCGATACCTAAAATACTGGAAATAAAAGAATAGACAAGGAGTGAATTTTTTTATGCGTATCCAGGATACATGAATAGGAAAAAATCGGGATGGGATAGAATATATGAGCGGGAGAAAATCTGGGGCAAACCCCCAACTTTTAACCTTAAGTAATTTTCCTTTTCCAAATGAAAGGGACCAAATTGTCCGAACCCCTTTCTTTTGTATTTTAGTTAGGGTTACGTCTTACGAGAATAATATTCTACCACCAGCAATTCATTGATTTGCAAACCGACCCACTTACTATCTATTATTTGATTGACTAATCCTTTATATGGAAATGGGTTAAGGGTCAAATGTTTAGGTAATTCCTCACGGGGGGATAAATCAAGAGAATTTTGAATTAGAGCTCTGGATTTTTGTTCATCCCTCACCATAATAGTATCCTTGGGTTTGCAACGATAA